GTGCTGCGCCGCGAGCATGAAGGTGTTGCCCACGCTCACCTGTGCCGACCGCGCCACGCACACCCACTTGAAGAGCTCCGCGCTTGACCCAGCAGGAGGCGATCCAGCCAGGGGAGGCAGAGGGGGAGCCGCGCTCGCGCTGGCTCCCGCCGACGCTGGCGGCGGCTCCGGCTCGTCCTCCAGAATGCCCATCATGCGCCTCTCCTCGGCCGCCTTGGCGCGGCCCTCCTCGAGCAAGTCCTGCAGCTCCTGCCCGACGGGTTTCGCCGTGAAGCGGTGCACGGGCTGGCCGCGCGCCGCGCCCAGCCCAGGGGGAAGCCCCCCTCGGGGGCCCCCCTCTCTGAAGTCCTGGAGGAACTCCAGGCTGATGGTCTCCGCGTAGATGTCCCCATCTGGGGTCATGATGATGTAACAGCAGTGGTCCACGACTGCGAGGATCAGGCGCTCATGCCACGGTTTCCCGTCCACCCCGTAGTTGACGAAGACCACGCCCCCTGGCTTCAGCCCCAACAATGACCTTCGCCTTCTCGGAGCCGCGCGCATCTTGTCGATCGACCTGCGGCTGCACTCCCACAGGCGCCTGCACCAAGGGGGCGAGGGCCTCCTGAGGGCTCGGCTGTCTGAGCGCGAAGGCGCCCGCCAGCACCAGCCGGCACGTCACGTAGCAAGAGCAGCACACCGCCTGCGCCGCCAGCACCAGCAGCGCGCCCAGCACGAAGGCCAGGACAGCTGCCGTCACGGACAGCCCGAGGGGCACAGGAGCTCCCCACATGTCCTGGGCGCCAAGGCAGGCGTGGGCGGCACTCGAGAGCCCCAGAGCACAGGGGCTGACGCCGAACGCCTCCTTCACGCCACTTATGAAGCTGGGCGCCGGGGCCGGGGACTTGTCGGCAGAAAAGGCCCAGCCGAAATCTCCCATCCGCCGCCTCGAAAACCGCTTGAGCACAGACAGTTGCGGCCAGCACGGAAACATTCAGCATTGCACACTGTTACACGTTGCTACAGGAGGAGGAGGAGGAGGAGGAGGAGGAGGAGGAGGAGGAGGAGGAGGAGGAGGAGGAGGAGGAAGGAGGAGGAGGAGGAGGAGGAGTGAGGAGGAGGATGAGTAGGAGCTCGTTCTTTATGTTCGTCGAATGACAGGCGTCATGGGGGGGGGGTGACGGCGGGGGGGGGGTATGACGTGACGCCCCCCCCCGCCGTGTGGCTCCGGCACCACAGCCGCGCCCGCGCGCATGACGCGACGAGCGACGAGCAACGAGCGAGGACGACGACGACGACGACGACGACGCGAGCAGCATGTAGGTGGCGATCTGCCCACTGCGCCTGTGTACACCACAACGCTCGCGTGCACCACGCCGCGCGTGCGCACCACAACGCCTGCGTACACCGCAACAACCACCGAGTGCAACGCACCGCCTGTGTATACCACAATACTTGGGAGCACTACAGCGCCAGTGTACATACACCGCAGCAGCCATGTGCAACACAGCGCTTGTGTACACCACAGTGCTTGCGTGCACCGCAGCGCCTTGCACGCCAGCGTCTGTCTACACCACAGCATCCGCGTGCAACGCAGCGCTGGTGTACACCACAGCGCCTGCGTGCATAGGACAGGTAGATGGAGCATGTGCGTGAGGATCTGCTGCGGACAACTAAAAGCCACGCAAGGAAAGTTTTGATAATCGAATGCGACGTTTTTCCCTCCTCCGTCCTCCTCCTCCTCCTCCTCCTCCTCCTCCTCCTCCTCCTCCTCCTCCTCCTCTTTCTCCTCCTTCTTACCCCTTGTCGTGCGGCTTGGCGTTACAGCGCACGTGCGCATCTCAGCGAGCACCGCAGAATGGTCGATTGAATCGGTCCGCTCGGTTCTCGGACGGCCAATTTAGCTGGAGCCTCCTGGACGCATGGACTCGGGGGACTCGTAGATTCCAGCGGCGCTCCTTTGTCCATAAAGATTTGTTTTCCATTGTTTTCTGTGGAAACCACAAGCGCTCCATTTTCCCACAAGGATTTCTTCAAACATTCTATACACAACAATGGTGCTGTGTTGCACACGGCTGAAGTGGTGCACACAGGCGCCGTGGCGTACACAGGCACTGCACTGCACGCAGGCATTGTGTACACTGGTGCTGTGTCGCGCACGGCTGATGTGGTGTACGGAGGCGCTGTGGTGTACACAGGAGCTGCTGTGCCCGCAGGCACGGTGCCACAGACTGACGCTGTGTTGCACGCGGCTGCTGTGGTGTACATTGGCGGTGTGGTGTGCACAGGCGCTGTGGTGCACGCGGGCACTGTGATGTACACAGGCGTTGTGGTGCAAATCGCCACCTACATGTTCGTGCTACCCGTCCTCCGTATTTCTCAGCATTCCCAGACGCCGCCGGCGCGAAACGTGACGTCATCGACCCCCTCCCCCCCCAGATGATTGCCGTCATCGGCCCGGACTTAAAAACAGGTTCCAGCCGCGTCCGCGCGCACGACGACGGTGAGCGACGAGCGACGAACCACGAGCGACCACGACGGACGACGGACGACGACGACGACGACGACGACGACGACGACACGACCACAACCACGACGACTGCGGACCAGACACCTATGCGGATTCCTACGCGAACACCTACGCGGATCCCAATGCGCACGGCGGCAGTGCCCGGAGCGCACTGGGGGGGGAGCGTTACGTCATAGAGGGGGGGAGCGGGGGCCATGACGCCCGTCATGCCCCAAGCAAGAAAGAAACGGGCTCAAGAGGAGGAGGAGGAGGAGGAGGAGGACAATGAGGAAGAGGAGAATGAGGAGGAGGAAAATGAGGAGGATAATGAGGAGGAGGAGGATGAGAAGGAGGAGGAAAAGGAGGGGGAGGAGAATGAGGAGGATAATGAGGAGTAGAATGAGGAGGAGGAGGAGAAGGAGGAGGGGGAGGAGGAGGAGGAGGAGGAGGAGGAGGAGGAGGAGGAGCGCCAGTACCTCATGCGTCCATCGGTCCCACTGCACTCAACGCCTTGGGGGCTTCAGCCAGGGATAAGGCCTAGCCATTCCAGGCGGAGGCGGAAGAAGCGAGTAATTGTCAGGCATTTTCGTGAGCGCCGCTTTGAGGGCCACGAGAGATTGAGACAGATCGAGGGGCCGACCGTTCTGCCGCCCAACCATTTCCTTGGCTATGTGGTAGATGTAAAAGCACAGGGAAGTAGCAAGCACAGCATTCTCTCGAGTTAAATCGAGCGCTGGATAATGAACTGGCAGCCCAAGTCCGAGACGTATGAGCGGACATGAGGGCACCACCGCACGAGGACGACAGATCAGATGGACAAGGTGAGGGCATCGAAGGTAATGCTCAATACTGTCCGGATGGCGGTGGCAACCGAACACACAACACCAGCGCTCCGAGGTCACGTGCATGCGGTCCTTTGTCGTCCAGCGACCGTTTTCAAGTAAGGCCAACGGATCGAAGCGGGAGAGCAGGCAAGATTTCTCGAGCCAGGGGGCCCCGCTCTCGCAGTCGTGTGGGGGTGACATTAAACCAGGCCCGCACGCGACGCCCAATCAGGAGCTCTACTTTGTCGGGATAGGCTGAGCCAGAAACCGAACGCATAAAATGACCTTGCATCTTGGGCCGGCGTCCCTCCAGTGCGGCCTCACGCACGGCGGCACGGGCACGGCTCTGGGCGAGGCGGAGCTGCGAGGCCAAGAGGGGAGGGCGGCGACACGGCACGGCGGATCTCAACTGCTCGTAGTACTGCACAATCGACTGCTTCATCTTCCAACACGGCGCGCACCAAGCGTGCTGAATTATGTCCACAACTGGGAGGTGATCCACAACTCCCGAGACGAGATCAGCAGCGAGCTGGAGCCGACGGTGCAAAGGACCCCAAACATTATCTAGAGTCATGGAGTCATGGAGGAGGAGGAGGAGGAGGAGGAGGAGGAGGAGGAGGAGGAGGAGGAGGAGGAGGAGGAGGGGGGGGAGGTGGACACGTCCCCAACAAGAAGTTCCCCCCCAATACGGTCAGCACGACCGCTCCTGTCCACCGCGGCGAGCACCAAAGAGGGGGAAGGCGAAGGCCCGTGCGTGGGCCCACCGCCGGTCCAGGAGCCGGGAGGGCCGACGCGGGTGACACTCCAGCGACCACGCCCGGCCGGAGGCTCGGCCCGAGAAGCGTGAAGAGTCCATCGGGCGTCGCTCACCGCAGGGTGCACCAAAGGGGGGGAAGAGAGGCGTGCACCTCAGGTGCAGCCTCGGGGCCCCAGATGGGTGCACCTTCATGGCCCCTTCCTGGAACCCTCGAGCCCCCCCCCCGATGTCGAAGCGCCCGAATCGGAGGCGCCCGGCCCATTCTGGAGCTGAGAAACCCCAAGATGTTGACGTCTCGCGTTTGCTTCCGCCGCCCTCCGGCGTTCTGCCTCCGCGGGCCTCCGCCAAAGGCGAGGCGCGCCGAGGGCGAGGTCATGTCTGGATCGCCCCTCAACGTGGCCGTGCAGCAGAAAGCGGCGGGACAGGGGCAGCGAGATCCTGGTTGGTTTTACACTGCGCGTCTATCATCACACCTGAAGCTCCACCGAACAGCGCTGCGAGCGCAACGAGCTTGAGAAAGGATACGCCCCGATACAGTTATTTGAAAACACGAACACAACTTCGAAACGAGAACACCGAATTTGAAAGAGGAACGCCCTGTATCCTTGAAGTTCCTGGGAATTCAGCGCTTTAGAGGGGAAATAATCGAAAGGTCGTATCAAGCGACAACACGGCTCTGAAAAAAAACGCCCTCCATCCGTACAGCTTTTGGGAATGTCAAGCTGCAGGGTCGGGAAGGGGTGACAAAATGTCACACGAGAACACGTGCTTGAAAAGGTGCCGCCTACAAGCCGTATGATTCCACCAGACCTCCCTGCGATTATGGTTGATCGGGTCACATCTGTCAACCCGCTGCTCCTCCTTCTGAGAGGGTGGTACCCATTACCCAGCCCCACGCCGCGACACTTCCCCCCAAACCCAGCCGCGCGGAGAGGGTGCTTGATTGCTGTTGGGAATGGATTTGCTGCCGATTTGAAGCGTACTCGAGCATTTTATCTCCTGGGGGCGTCTCGGGGTCCTGTTACAAACTTGTAGGGGATTTCTTGGGGGCCTCTTGAGACCTCCTGGGGGTCTCTCTGGGGGCCGCTGAAGGCCTTTGGAGCAATCTTGCTGCCAACAACAGCTGTCCTCAACGCCTTGATCATGATTTGCAGGGCATTGGCGGACCTATTACTTTCATCTTGCGTGGCTCCAGGCCGTCTTGGGAGCCACTTGGGGCCTTTGGGGGCTGCCTTGGTGCTCTCTTGGGCTGTCTCGGGGCCCTCTTGGGCCGTATTGGGGCCGTCTCGGGGCCCTCATGGTGCTGTTCTGGGCGGCAGAAAGGCGATATTGGGGGTCTCGTTGGCCGGCCTGGGCGTCCTGAAGCCCGACAAGGCGAACATGCGAATCTGATTCAGGAACCTGTGGAACAATACCTTATTGCTGCTTCTTGGGGGCTTCGGGGGCCGTCTTGGGTCCTTCTTGAGACGTCTTGGGCCGATTTGGAAGCTACCTTGTGCCATCTGGGCACGTGTTGTTTGTCTCGGCTCATCTCCGCAATGCACCGAAGCTCGGCCTGAACTACCGTTAGATCCTGATTCCAGTTAAGCCCTGGCCGAGAGCAGAGTACTGATCCCTGCGCACTTTTCACAGCCTGTAACAGTCAGAACCAAGGCAGTCGCCTTGCCAGCAAAAGGGTGGTTCGCGTCAAGCTTCGCAATGTTCTCGCCGATGTGTTTAACGGAGACTGGAGGAAGACCTCCTTGGATCATCAACATCCTGCCCACCTTCACATCAAATGGAACCCTGTCAAGGGGGTGTTCCGTCAAGAGCTCGTCCTTGTAGGCGCCAAAAAAGGGCGCGTCAGTGCCGAACTTCATGGTTTTTGCCTCACCAACGGCCATTCCCAGGACTCCCTATTCCATCTGCTGCATGATGGTACCTTCTCCCACGACAGGCGTCACTGGCGGCTGGTCCTCAGACGAGTCAATGACTTCGGGAGGCGCTTCAAGCATGGTCTGGTATACGATCGCCACGCGAGGGCCCGCCACTACTTCCTCCAATAAAGCACAACGTGTCACCTTGCTCGGCAGAGGCGAGCTCTGCCAAAGGCTCGAAGACCCAGAGACGAAAACCGAAACTGTAATACTGGCGAGGACCCAGCAGAGCCCCGTGACAGCCAAAGCGACTGTTAGAACACCGCGGCGTTCGAGGGAGAACGCAAGCACCACACCTCCGACATTGAAACAACTGAGCCAAAATGGTCTGCACCCAAATAAGTCGACCTAACATGGCTGGAACAGAAAAGGCTGCCGTGGGCCATCTAGGCCGTCTTGAAAACCACCTTGGCCGTCTCAGAAGCCATCTTGGGTCTTCTAGGCCATCTTGGAGGCCATCTTGAACCGTCTTGGAGGCAATGCTGGACCGCTTTGAGGCCATCCCATGATGGCACTGGGGCTAGGGGACAACTGGAGAGGTTGGCTCGTTCTACTAGGAGAGGTCCTTATCTGCGAATGGCCGCGAGGGGCAAGAGCGCTCTAGATGGTTCCGAGATGGCTCCAAAGAGTCGAAGACGGACCCTCAGAGGTTACAGTATAGCTTTCGTTCGACTCAGATGGCCTGTCGATTGCTTTCGGCTAGAACTTCTCACTTGCTATAGAAGCGCAGCCCGCGGTGTATTCTGAGGCCTCCCTTTCTCGTTTGGCTCCTACCTCTGCCTCTCTCTCTTCTGCCTCTCTCCTCCTCCTCCTCCTTCTCCTCCTCCTCCTCCTCCTTCTCCTCCTCCTCCTCCCCCTCCCGATTCGCTTGGGAGGTCGATGTGGGGGGCATTTGAGCGAGCTCGACGATGAGGGTGAGCAGGGCGCTTTCGGATCCGGTTCTGAGCTCGCTGAATCGTCTTCAGTCTGTCCCGCAGGAAACTAGTTTAAGAATGCCCGCCAATTGCTGAGGCAAGAGACGCCCTCTCCGTATTGGCGTCGTTTTCGCGTGCGTGTTTGGAGAAGAGATTAGACGCTTCTCCCGCTTGGTGGTGCAGGACGGTGAGTGGAGAACTTACCCTATCAATAGCGCAGGACATCGCCATCACCATTACCATTACCATCACCGCCACCGCCACCAGCACGATGATCACCACCACCTTCGCCACCATCACTTCACTAGGAGTCTTAGCTTAAACACACGCCGTCGGAGATCCGCGTGGATTTCTTGGATCGACACTGGACCCCCGTGGCGTGGGAAGCGCGCCAGGGGCGGCGCCAGAGCCGCCGCGCGCAGGTCTAAAGATATCCGTGCGGACCACCTGGAGCTTATGTTTATGCCGCTGTTTCTTCTTCGATCTTCGAATTATCCTCCTCCTCCTCACCACCATCATCATCACAATCACCATCATCACCACCGCCACCAACACCAACATCATAGAGTTACCATCACCATCACCATCACCATCACCATCACCATCCTCCTCCTCACCCTCCTCCTCATCATCACCACCACCATCATCATCATCATCATCATCATCATCATCATCATCATCATCATCATCATCATCATCATCATAATCAGCATCATAATCATATTGACCCTAACCCTCATGTCTATTACCTATCTATCATCACCACCATCACCATCACCATTACAACCATCAGTATCAACACCAACATGAACATCATCCGCATCATCATCAACATCATCATCTTCATACTCATAACTGACCCTCATCCTCATCAGCATCACCATCACCGTCACCATCACCATGACCAGCACCATCACGATCACCATCATCATCAGCAGCATCAGCAGCATCAGCATCACCTTCATCATCATCATCACCATCACCATCATAACCATCATCATCACCACCATCATCATCATCGTCGTCCGCATCGTCATCAGCACCGCCACCGCCTTCACCACTATCATCCTCCTCCTCCTCCTTCTCCTCCTCCTCCTCATCATCATCATCATCATCCTCCTCCTCCTCCTCCTCCTCCTCCTCCTCCTCCTCCTCCTCCTCCTCCTCCTCATCATCATCATCATCATCATCATCATCATCATCATCATCATCATCATCATCCTCTGCGTCGGCGTCGTCGTGCGCCTCTCTGGCCCTCAGCGCCGCTCCTCGGACCCAAGGCTCATCAAGATCTCCCGCAGCTTCTCCTGCTTCTCGCGCTGGCCGCTCACGACAATGGCCTGCATGCGGGGGAGGGGGGGGGGCGCCCCTGGCCCTGGGGCCGGCCCGGAGCAACGGCAACCGCCGAGGAACGCGACGACAACGACGACGACAGCGACGACGACGACGACGACGAAAACGACACGACGACGACGACGACAACGACGACGACGGCAGCCACGACGACGAAAGCGTCGGCGGCGACGTCCTGCCAAGGGTGGCCCCCTGGCCCAGCCCCGGGCGGGAGCCCGAGGCCCCGGGGGCCCGCCCAGAACTCACGCAGAGAACCAGAGACTCCTGTGGCACTGGCTGCCTGCAAGGAGCACACGCAAGAAAGAAGCGCCTCGTGGACTCGGCGAGCGCTCGAGTCGGCAGGGCAGACACCCGGGCCACTGCGCAGCAAATTAGAGAGCACCGCAAGAGGCGGGAGGGAAGAGGGCGGAGGCCGCGGAGGAAAGAAGTCAAGCTCACGCGCCTGGCAAGCCCAGGGGCTCGGCCAGACTGCACCTGTGCAATCGAGAGGGCTTCAGACGCGCTGCATTTCAAAGCTCCCAGAGTGGAGGTTCGGCCTCCGCTCGGGAGGTCGTTTGTTCTCCCTGGTGGCGCTATCTCCAGAGGGGAGGCTGGACCTCCAGAGTGCAAGTGCTCTGGGTCAGGATGCCAAAAGTTCTCTCGACCTCCACCTTGCGCACCCGGCCGTGGCCGCGATGCGGCGGCACCTGCCGCGCGGAAGGTGAGGAAGGTAGGGATCGAGGGCTCGGACGGACGGATCTCCAATCTGGCCGTTTCCTCCAGGAGCTGTGTGTCGGGCCCTGGACGGGACTAATGTGGGCAACTGAGTCAGAAACAAAAGGCCCCCGCCCCGTCCCCCCTGATTCCATGCCCAGGACAGAAGGACAGAAACAGTGTTTGTTTCATCGTTTCCCTCCGCGTCCGTCCACCCCCTCGCTCTTTGGCTGCTACCAGCGCTGCTTCGTCGTGGCGTGGCCCTCGCCTGGGATACCTAACACGGCCTCGCTTTCAGCGCCATCGCCATGCGCGCGGCTGCAATTTCCGAGTGCCTCGTCTGCCCTACGGCGGAGGGGGAGCAGGGGGCGGAGGAGGGGGAGCAGCAGGAGCACGAGGAGCAGGGGGCGGAGAGGCGGGAGCGAGCGGCCCGCCCGAGGCCCGCGCGCCGGCGCGCGCCCCCACCCCTTCTCCCCCCTCCCTCCTCCCCCTCCCTCCTCCCCCTCCCTTCTCCCTTCTCCCCCTCCCTCCTCCCCCTCGCTCCTCCTCCCGCGCTTCGGGGGAGGGGAGGGGGAGAAGCGGCCGGAGCAGCGGCCGGAGACCGCGCAATGGCGCCACAGAAGCGGCTGGGGTTGGAGGCCGCGCTCGGCAAGGAGGAAGGGGAGGGGAGGGGGGAGGGGGAGGGGGCACGCCAGGTGCGCTCGCGTCAGACCTGACGTCCTACCCCTCCCATCCCTTCCCATGGCGAAACTCTCCTCTCTATTCGCACAGTCAGATATCGAGCAGGGCAAGGATCCGGAGAGGGTGCGCGATGCATCGCAGAGCACGGGAAGCAGGGCGTAGAAGAGCACGGCAGAGGGTGGTATGTAATAGCATGGCGTGGCGTTGCGCAGTGAAGAATTGTATCACCAAGCACTGCAACGCAGAGAATGGCATCGCACAGCGGCACAGAACAGAACATGGCATCGCATGGCGTTGAAGATCAAAGCGTAGCATGGCAGAGCATGGCGTGGCACTGCGTAGTCAAGCACTGCATATCCTAGCATTGCAGCTGCAGGCATGGTATCGCACAACGGAACACCACATAACATTGCAATGCGTTCCGGGCACTGGAAATAATGACGCCAGCGCTGCAGCGGGAGCACGATTCGGAACGAGCGGAAGCGCGGAAACGAGGCCAGCGCAGCAGCGGGAGCAAGATTCGGCATGAGCGGAAGCGCGGAAATGAGGCCAGCGCTGCAGCGGGAGCACGATTCGGAAAGAGCGGAAGCCCGAAAATGAGGCCAACGTTTCAGCGGGAACAACATTCACCCCCCCAACAAAAAAAACGAAAACCCAATTGCTGGGAATCTGGTGTAAAAAAAACAATACGCGGAGGGGGGCCGAACATCTTCCGGAAGTCATCAGGGGATAGGGGAACATTGTATTCATATTGTGTAATTGGGGAGGGCGGCGAGGACGGAGAGGGGCCTGAGAAGGGGGGGAGAGGCGGAGGAACAGGGGGACGAGGAGGAGGAGGGAGAGGGAGGACAGGAGGAGGGCGAGAAGGGTGGCACAACAGGACGGAGGCGCAGGGCAGCGCCGAACGCAGGCATGCGCGCCGCGCAGAAGAGGCAGGCCATCCCCTGCAATGACGGCCAATCTATTCGTTGCCATCCCGCTGCGGCTCAAAAACTTTGACTTCATCGTGGTCGGTCTGTTTTCTTCTGAATCATGGACCCACATCATCAGACACCCTGGATCCCGAACGAAACACTGCCCTGGGGAGGGGGTCGAGACCGCTGGGGCCCGCCGCGGATGGGGAAATTCACATCGCCAGATGTCTGGAGTCGAGGGTCGAAGAAGACCGACATCTTGCAACTATCCTGCACTTTTCGGCCGTGCCTCTGGGGACATCTGGAGACCTCCTGAAGCCCGCCTTGAGGCTCACAGGGAACTCAGGATCGAGGAATCTGCGGGCCGCATGTGGGGCCCGCAGGTTGACAAAATTTTAGCTGTTCGCTATGGGGCCACGAAGCGTGCGAGTGCCGACATGGGTGCGGGGGACGCATGTGGACGTGGACGGTAGCACTGTGGCCTTCGGTGGAACTCCCTATGGGGCCACGGAACGTGCGAGGGGTGTGCCAAAATGGGTGCGGGGGACTCGCTGGGGCCCGAAACATGTGAGGGGTGTGGTGGGGGCGGGGGGGGCGCATGTGAACGGTAGCACTGTGGCCTTCGGTGGAGCGCCCTATGGGGCCACGGAACGTGCGAGGGGTGTGCCGAAATGGGTGCGGGGGACGCATGTGGACCGTGGCGCTGGTGCTTTCGGTGGAGCGCCCTATGGGGCCACGGAACGTGCGAGGGGTGTGCCGAAATGGGTGCGGGGGA